TATCCATGAAAATAGCAACATCGAAAATTTTATCAAAACTTCAAATATTGTTTTCTCAAAAACTAAAAGTTATTTTTCAAAATGGGTTGGTTCATCGGAAAGAGGGCACTTTTATTAACAGTTTGGGATATTTTCATACTCATATTCCAAGAAATGGATTTTATACGAATTTTCAAAACTTAATCGGCGAAAACTGCAAAATTCCAAAAAATTGTCGATCATTTCAAAAATTTATTTCTCAAGAACTAAAAGTGATTTTTCAAAACGGTTTTTTGCATTAAAAAGAGGATACTTTAATTAATAATTGAAAGTGATAACAGCAACAGTTCTGTTAGTAATGAATGTGATGATGAATTACAAGCGAAGAGAAGAAAATTAGACGAAACTGCAACAAAAGATTTTATATATCGTATTGGGATTGTTACAATGAGGTTGTTAATGATAAATAAAGTTGTATTCAATGAAAAAAGTCCTATTAGGGTTGAACTTGATTATTATCTGCAGTGTCTAACACCTAAAACAGATACTAATTTCTGTGAATGGTGGAGTACTAAGTAATAGGTTACTTTTAATTTGTCTATCCGTCCTATTGGACTTTGGGTATTTCTCAGAGTTTTCTTGTAACTAAGATGCCAACTGTCTTTGCTAGTTATGAAACCCGAAATAGACCATTTGATCGCCATCTTTGCTATATCTTGTACATTTCATATATTCATTTTGTAAGTATCAAATTTGATTGATGATTATAATTTTTTTTCAAGTTTCTTATGACGAATTCATCGCTCAAAGCTGTTTTCGCGGTGATTCTCACTTTGGGAAATTACATGAATGGTGGAAATCGAGATCGTGGTCAAGCCGATGGATTCGGATTAGAAATTTTATCAAAATTACGTGATGTTAAGTCGAAAGATTCCCGAGTTACTTTGTTACATTTTATAGTAAGAGTTTGTGTTAAACAAATCGAAAATCCTTTCGCTCCAAATCTATCGATGCCGATTCCGGAACCGGGTGATGTTGAAAGATCATCTTCGATTAATTTCGATGATCTTAACTTAAAATTGAATCAATTGCAAAAACAACTCGAAGGTAAAAAAGGTTATTTTAATAAATAAGAATGATGTTGCTGAAATTTTTTTTGTTTAAGCTTGTGATAATCGTATAAAAAAAGTAATACAATACTCAAAACCGGAACATTTAGAACCATTTCAAGAAAAAATGGCGGCTTTTATGGAAAACGCACAAAAACGATTATCATCAGAGCGTGAAAATTTAGCTGAATGTAAAGCAACGTTTATCGAAACTATGAAGTTTTATAGATTTAAGCCGAAAAAGGGGACCATTGAAACAGTTATGCCATCAGAATTCTTTAATTTATGGGCCCCGTTTTGTAAAGATTTTAAAGATATCTGGAAAAAAGAAATTATGAATTTGGAAAAAGAAAAGTTTGTTTCAATTTTATCGCACATTTTCGTTAAACTAATTTTGTTAACTAATTTCTTTTGTAGAATTCAAGCTTTACGTAAACAAGAAAGTGAAAGGTTGGCGGAAAACGTAAAAGGGAAAAAACGAGCGGGTGGATTAAAGGCGAAAGTGGAAAAAATGAAACAAAAAATGAAAGCGTAGAAGTGATAATAGTATGATTGGTGCTCTTAACTCAAGTATACAAAGTGTATTTCGTAGTTTGTCCAAGTTTTTTTTGTCTCTTTATATCATGTTTGTTGTTGAAATAATTTCGTCACTAGATTTTCAGAAAATTATGTGATTGTGTGATGTAAATTTACTTATACATAGTGTTGCCCTATCTTGTTCATACTATCTATATTGATAATATATTATTTACTTTTTTAAAACCTTCTTTTTTTAATTATATTTTAATAACCTTAAGGAAAAGTATGTTGTAGCAAAAACTTATTTATTAATCTTTCAATATACGCGCGCGGACTATCAATTCGCGTAATTTAAACTTAAACTCGTGTTTGACTGGGAAGTTAAAAAACTCAGAAATACAATAAAAATTCGTTCTTTATTTTTTTTTGTATGTACAACGTACAATTAAGATCATAGTAAAAGTAAAACCTACACTTACATTTACATCGAAATTATTCTATATACACAATTTAATTTTCTCATTTTAAATTATGGCAACATAGCCAGAAAAATAATAATAGCGTACACAAAACGTATACATAATAATAAAATAATCATAAAAAAAGAAAGGATATGTTACACATTAATAAAAAATTATATCTTTTCAACATACTTTTATTTTTTGTCAAATTCTTTTGTATTATTTCTGTTCGATTTGAGATCACTTCAACAAAATAACAATTAAGTAAAAAAATGATAACATGTTTTGTTTAAACAAATTTGTTAAGTAGATGTGCGAAAAATTGATAAATATCGTTGATGATGATAAAATTAATAAATAGATTTAATTAAAATTAGACAAAAAACAACAACACTATTAAGTACCGTTTTTGTTTCAATATTTCTTGATGATGATTTTAATAAGTACATTTGTCCGTTTTCTCTCGTCAATTACAGCTTCTTAAAAATAATAATAAAGTCACATCAACATCGTTTTTTTCTGTAATTATTGTGCTTATTTTTAAGAGTATTTGGCACAAGAATTTTAATTGTAAATTTTTTTTACAATTTGTTGTGGTTAGTGCTTTAAAATTTTGTTTAATTTCGATTAACATAAAATCGATTAAGATAAAAATTAAAAAGCATTAACTAAAACATTTCAGTTTTTTAAATAACAAGAAATGAAATATTTTTGTTACTAAAATGAAGTAACAAAAACATTAATTTTTTTTGTTAATTAAAAAAGTTAATTAAATATTGCTTAAAAATTACCACAATAACTACACTTTACACATTTTATAGAATAATAAGATCTTTTTTATTAAAACATTGAGTCTCACAACAATTATTGCAAATTATCTCCTTTCAAAATCACATTATTTCTTTTTCATCTTTTTATTGCTGTTCATGCTCACTTCATGTCCGTTTTATTTTTTTACGTTCCATTTTCTTTTTTTCTTTTCATCCATCTTGGTCCAATTTTTCATTCAACTTTTACTCAGGATCATTCATTCTTAATATTCACAAAAACACCAAAAAACACAGAATGTTTTAAAAAACATGGCAGGAACTTATATTTATATACATTAAAAGTTCGTTTTTTGTTTAAATTAATGTATTATTTAGCATTTTTATTTTACTTATTTCTTCCTTTCTTAGTACGTGCGTAAATTATCACTTTTTTGATGATGGCAATTCCGTAAGTACACAGATAAAAGTTTTCTTTGAACACTTCTCATTCTTTTAAGTTTAAAATACAATTATTATTAATTTTTTTAAGACGTGAATTAATAAATATTTATTTTTGCTTTTCTTTAAAAGTTTTTATAAAGTCCATCAGGTACGAAGATTCTTCGAAACTATATTAGATCAACATGTTAATTTACACAACATTATCTGATTAAATATTCTCCTCCTAAGAATATATTAACGACTTGATAATTTAAGTTCGTTCACTTTTAAGATCAATCATTTTTTTGATCAAGTTTATAATAAATTTCACGTTTAAATTAGCAGCACACACAAAAACATAAAAACGGATATTTTTTTCTTGAAATGGGATTCCTTTTTAAACGATAATTTCGCGTATAACTCTTCTTGTTCGCGAATTTGGCGTCGAATATCCACTTTCTAAACTTTCTTCATAGCTGAGGGACATGTGTTGAGGGGGTTTTTCCTCTTCCATTTGTTCTAAGTATGGATCTGGAAGGCCACTTACATCGTGATATGGTGAATCTGAAAGAATAAAATAATTTAGTTTAAGTAATTTTTCAAATATTGTTTAAAATAAGTATTATTAATTAACAGTACAGTGAGGTTAATTTAAATATCTGGAGTGTATATTATTGTGTTCACTTTTAAAACACGTTCAGTTTCCAAAACTGACTTTTTGATAACCGATTCTTGTAAGTTATCCTTCATCTTTTATTGTGCTATAAGTTTTGATTCAAAATAGATGATTTAAATCTGACACTTGTAACATTTTTTCAAAGGCAAATTTTTCGATAGTTAACATCATCGTATTCTTTCTTCTATATTATACACCTCTACGTTATGGTGTCTTATCAGGATTAGGTCTGAAGGGCCATAGGGTTCTATGGTCTCGATAAAGTTTGCTGCTGATACTGCAGATATAGCAGTAGAATAGATGCGTTGCTTCTTGGCAATTACATGACACAAAATTTAGATTGTTTATGCATAAACAACATTTACTTGATTTTTCAGAAAACTCAAAAAACTTTCATCATGTCGTAATGACGTAGGCATTTGCGCAAACTTTAAACCAATATTGTAGCGATTAAAGTTTGTTTGTAACTGTTGGACGATGATTCAAAAATCCTGTTCAACAGGGTAGTTAAGTAAAAGTGACCATTTTGGAGTTTATGCCCTTTTGGCTTGGCGCCGTCGATATTTTTCCACTTTTCACATCCACACCGTTCTTCATATTGACATTAATAGGTATAAAAGGAATGGCTAAAGGAATGGAAAAGAGTTATATAGGTGGCATGACAACAATGTAGTTAGCATTGCATCAAATACTGCAATTTTGTGCAACAACCAAACTCGATGTATAATCGGCTGTATAATGAGAACGTGACAGGAGTAGATAGAGCATCCTTAAGTTTATGAGAAATTCTATCAAATTTGCGAATCCCATAAATGAATCTGAGGCAACTATTCTGAACCTTTTGTATACTTTGTGACGTGACTGCATCTATAGCCTTATAATATACAGCAGACATATAGTTAAATTGTGAAAGAACAAACATCACAGAGGTGCACTATTAATTTCAAAGATAAACATGAACGATGCGGGTACAACCGACGCAAAAAAAATATGGTCTCTGAATATATGTTTGAATTTGTTTTCTAAATCTTAAGCTAGTATCTAAAATCATACCAAGACACTTAGCTTTAGGGTTCTTTTTAATTAAGGTATTATTCATCTTAATGGGTAAGTGCGAAGTAGTGTATTAAAACTCATTCACATAGATTTGTCAGGATTTATTTTTGAATTCTGTTGCTAATTCAAAAATCAAGGTCACCGCTAATATCAGCCTTTAGAAAGTGCAGGAAAAATATTTATTGGTTGTAAGTCACTATACTCTCGTGGGTTATCCTTTTTTGATGCGTTTCCATTCCAAGGAAAAGACACGGTCAACTAAACAACAATTCAATATGTTGGTCAAATATGGCAAAATGGTGGGGCAACACAGTTTGATCATCTTAATGGAAATTCCATCAGTACCAACAGCAGAAGATCTAATATATGCAATCACGTCAGAAACCAGAGGGATCTCCACAGTCTTAAATGAAAACTCATTGCTATAAGTAGGAGAACTATACAGATCAAGGTCAGAAGCCTGCAAATCTTTAATAATGTCACTGCCCACAAAATAATCATTAATCTGATCAGGATGTTTTAAATTTAAATGTAGATAAGATTTTTGAATTGGTTTTAAGTTCAAAATTTTCAAGTTATTCCACATCTGTTTGGTATTGCCCATAGCAGCAATAAAACCAAAATTAGCTCGCTTTTCATTTCTGATAGGTGCAGTAGTAAGATTACGAAGGGTCTTATAATATTCCCAATGAGCTACCATGTCTAAACTTGGTTTTAGCCTCATTTCTGAACTTAATCATTAATCTAATATTATCAGTCACCCAGGGTGTGGGAGGCTTGGTAAATCGATAAATTGATTCTAAATCATGCAGAAAAGATGATAGGCTTAATAGTCGTAGAGACTTAAACACTGGAGGTTGTCTACCTACATTCACACCAACATCGCAAAATAACCATATCATAATCAGACAAATTGTACGGGACCAGTCCATTGCGAAGAACGATGTTAGATGTTAGTTAACGATATAAGAGAGTGTTTTTGGTATTCTGGATTATAGTGACTTAAGACTTCGAAAATAAAGTTTAATATAAGTGAGGTAAAGCGAGTTGAGGTTGCTGTCGTTGTTTTGTGGAAAGATTTCATTGAAGATACTTGAAAATTTATAACAGTAAAACTATGTCGGCACCTTGATAACCAATCAATTAACTGTAGCTATGTTTAAATAGGTGTTTAGAATTTATTTGCAAATCTGACGTCCTTCATGATATTATTAAAACAATTGATGACAAGAATGTGATTATAGGAAAGTTACGGTATTAATTTTGGTAGATTTTTCAAAGGCATTCTATAGGCACCATAGGTCTTGATAAAGTTATTATTACGTTTTTCTGTTCACATAGACTAAATGTACAGACTGAGGTAAAAAGCTGAATTCAGGAATCGTTGGCTGAATCAGAAGGCTCAAATTCAGTATCAACATATTAAAATCAGCTGTGAGGGTTGATGCAATGTGATTAGGTACAAAGGGAAAATCGTAGGTTGCATTATTGAAATCTGTTCAGGGAAATCCAGCTCGTGTGCATGTGCGTGAGTGTAAAGACTGATAAAAATGTTGGTTTTAAATGTCTCAGATTCATGAAAATCCATATTGGTAGGCTAAACACATCATCACCAGAAGGTGAGGTCCAACATTCTCCTTATAGTTTTGGTGGTCTTCTCTTTGATTTTGCATTTTTATCGACTCTGTCATCTTCCATTCTTCCATAATCTTCCATTATCTTGTTCCAGAATCTTCGTTTTTGTCCCAACCATCTTCTTTCCGCATTGTTGTCTGATATTTTTGTATTATCAGATTGAACATCCTTTATATTTAATCTGATAATGGATAAAATAACACAAAACCTTCCCAGAACAGCTGAATGCAAAATGGCATGCATGACAGAGACAAGAATTATGTCATTTATTCTCACATTATGGTTTTAAAGTACACTGGACTTAGAAGAAAGAAGAGTTTGCCTTTATATAAGTTAACGTTTCATTTTCATGAAATTATGATAAAAATCGAGTATTTTATATTATGAACTATGTTCATTGATTCAATTGAAATATATTAAATGTAAACAATGAATAAAAAGATATTGTTTTAAAAAGTTAGCTTTAACTCAAACATTCAATATGTGGCTAGAATAACATCGCAGTTGCACGACTCTTAGCGTTTCCAAATTGACAGTATATTCACCACTATTTATAATACTCTCCTGATATTTAAATAGATCTCAATGGAAAACATAACGTTTTTTTATAAACTAAAAATAATTTGGTACAAAGACAATAACTCAATTCTGTGTATTAAATAGTGTTTTTATAAAAGAAAAATTTATAAATTAATTTTTAGTGTAAAAAAAGTATATAGAATAGTTTGAAATAAAAATATCGTTATAAAAATGAAAAGAAATGTAAAAGAGTGTGTTCGACATCAAAATTAATTAAATAATGTACGTACGAGTATAATTTTTAAACCGATGTACCTAAAGAAAAAATTATTATAGTGTTACATTTCAGAATTTTTTTAATTTTTTCTTTCAATGAGTCCACATAATTAATTTTCTTATTAAACTGAAATTCTTTATTTTCTTATAAAACAATAAAAATTCTTTAAATCAAATCCGGTTTTATCAAAAATTAAAATTATTTTCAAATTAATAGTCGTGTATGGATTTGTTTTAAAGGATTTTTAACACAGATTAAAACATTTTAGTTCAAATTCTACAAAAAGAGTTATTATAAACTCACCAATATGTTGTTCTATGCGTTTCTTTGGTTTATGGACGGCTGCATAAGGATCATTACAGTATTCTTGTCGTGATGGATTATTGCTGTTCCTCATGTAATCATCGCCGTGGTTGCTTTGAGTTGTAATATGCGTGTAAGGTGCGTAATCATCAACTGCTCCATAACCTCCATGCGTTATGGGATCGTAACCGTAAGAATTTTGGCGATCTACGTTCAAATGGGGTTGTAGTTGGTTTACTGAATTATTAGCTGCCGCCGCCATTTTCATTTGCCAAAGCGAATCTTGGGAATTAACACTTCCTCCATTATTTGAATTTGAGTAACTATTCTCTAAATATCCAATATTAGCCCCTGTAATAAAATTAAAATAAAAAAAATTACATTTTCGATTAAGATGAAAATTTTATTCTTACATTCTCCGTTATTAATATTTGGTCTTGATTGAATATCAGGATTTCCAACGTGATATCCATAACCGTTTTGAGTGGCATAAACGCTTTTTTGATCCTCAAGAGCTAAGGCTAAATCTAAATTGTGATCTAAAGCTTTGTTTTCCATTCCCGTCGATGGATAGTAAGGTGGAGGTGCTTGATTTTGACTGGAAACGATTGTGGGCCGAACGGAATCCGATTCGTAATCCTTTGATTGGGCTTTTTTCGTTTGATTCTTTTTGCATCTACAGAACATTAAAACTAAGACGCCGAAGAGTATCGCTACGATTGCCGTCACGATTATCGCTATGACAGTTGGTGTTCCTAAAGCTGATGCTTCTTTAATATAAGCTGTTCCAACTAGAAAAAAAATTGTAATATTTTTTGTGTTTAATTGAATAAAATTAACTCACTTTCTGCTTCTATTGAATCACCACAATGTTCTAAATGAGTTCCCAAACAAAATTTCACCCGAACTCGCGATTGATACTCTTCGTCCATATTTAGTTGATCATCAAGAAGCATTTTTCCTCTGTACATTCTGGAAACGACTTGATCTAAGTTAGCTTCTTTGTAAGTTGACATCATCCCAGAAACTTCTAACGGTAAAGTATCTAAAACTTTCCACGTTGGAACTGGCATGTTTTCGTTCGTGATAGATTCAACAATAGCAACTAAAGGTAAACAAGTGCTGGGGACTTCAACATGTAAAACGTGTGATGATGGATCATATGTAACTTTTTGTGGAATCGGCAAACGATCCACACGAGTCGTCACCGAAATTTCATGCGAATAATCACTTTTTCCCTTTGAATTAACCGCTTTTACTTTAAACGTGTAATGTTGGTGTTGTTCCAAATGCGAAACGTTACAAGGAATGTCGTGTTTACAATCGGCTTCGGACCAATCTGGTGATCTTGTAATTGTTCCACAACCATCAATATTTAAATTATCGTTAGCTGGGATCTTTTTGTATGAAACGTAATACTTTGTTGTTGAAATCCCGCCGGTAAATCCTGCTTGCCAGTTTAATGTAACGTAATTCGGACCAATATAAAGTGCCGCTAAATCGGATGGTTTTTCCGGCGGCCCTTTCGGTTGTAAACGAATTTTAACGTCGATTCCACCCAAACTGTTCATAACATGACAATTGTATTCACCGTAATCCTGCTGTTTGATGTCGGATATTTGCAGTTTACTGATGTAAGTATCGTTCTCTTTGTTGCTGGGTTTAATAACGTAGTGACCCGCCGAAGAAGTAAGTTGGGAATTGCTGGATCCAAAGAACCATTTAAACTCCGGTTTTGGGTATGCTTGAACTTTACAAATTACTTCGGCTGTTTCGTGTTTATCGAATGCAACTTTATTGTATTTATGGAGTATAATTGGTTCATCTATAATAAAAAGAAAAAATATTGTATATGAGTTGTTAAACAAAGTTTATTTAATTATTTAAACTTTGAAGTTGAATGACCTAAGCAGGGAGTGAGATAGCAACTGAGTTTTAAATCTATTTTAATCGAAAATTCCACCTTCCTTTAGTGTAAGTTAACTTTTCGCTGTATAACGTAGTTGTTTGTATATCAAGGTTGAAAGAGATCGAAAGGCTCTAACATAAATATACTTCGCGCAAAAACTATATTCTCAAAATAAACAATTTATTAGATTTATATCTTTCAAGGTTTTTTTCTAAGAACATCCAAAGATTTCTGTATATATTTATAAAATACTTCATTTATCATCTTATATTGAGATATAGGAAATAATTGCAAAATTACGGGAATTAACATTTTATATTTCAAAATAATAAAGAGATTTTGAATAAAAGGGAAATTGAAATAAAGAAATGTATATATAAATACATTATTATATTTATATTATTACCCAACCTAAAAATACCACCTGTTGCAATAGATTATAAAAATATATTGTTGTTATAATCTACAAATTTACATGAATATTAATGTAAAAACAAGTAATTTATAATGTATCAGTTATTTAAATGTAATTGGGTTCGATTTAAAACAAATTAATTTTGTTTTTTGATTACTTTCAGTTTAAATATATACACAACACAAATTTGTGTATTGAACTCCAACCAATTAAACGTATTTAACAAATCTATAAGTCAATAAGTCGTACATAAAATCACACACGATTAATTAAAAGTTTCTTCTTCAAATAACAAAAATTGTTAGTTTTGCCAAAAAATATTAGTTTGATTGAAATAAGGTTGAAAAATGTATGTATATTAAATTTGATACACTATTTCTAAAAAATTGAGTACTACAGCACCCTTGGTAAGTAATTTTAAAAGATAGCCTATTTAGAAAAGATTCAAAATTTAAACTAATATCAAATTTTCAAAAAATCATATCAACTCTATTTTAGAAAATAATGATATGAAATATATATCAAATGTAAGCTTAAACGTTCTAGATTATAGCAAGATATAAAAAGCATGAGATGGTATTATTAAAATTTTAAGATAAAAATTATTAAAGAAGATATTGTCAAATTTATAAATGAAATGCTATACAAAATTTTCAAAAAATCATAACTACTATGTTTTTAATATTGATGATATGATATATATGTTAAATTGAAGCTTAAGGGTTCTAGATTCTGAGATGATATAAAAACCATGGAATAGTATTATTAAAATTTCTTGTAAAAAATTATTATAAAAAAATGTCAAATTTATAAATTTAAAATAAAATCAAATTTTCAAAAAATCATATCAACTTTATTTTAGATAATAATGATATGATATATATGTCAAATGCAGGCTTAAACGTTCTAGATTATATTAAGATATAAAAAGCATGAGATGGTATTATTAAAATTTGAAGATAAAAATTTTCAAAGAAGAAATTGTCAAATTTATAAATGAAATGCAATAAAAAATTTTCAAAAAATCATGTCAACTATATTTCTAACATTGATGATATGATATATATGTTAAATTAGTGCTTAAAGATTCTAGTTTATGATATGATATAAAAACTATATGATAATATAATTATAATTTCTAGAAAAAAATTATTAAAGAAGAAATTGTCATATTACAAATCAAAAACACCACCAATTCTTCAAAAAATCATATCAACTGTGTTTCTAATATTGATGATATGATATATATGTTAAATTATAGCTTAAGGATTCTAGTTTATGATATGATATAAAAACTATATGATAATATAATTATAATTTCTAGAAAAAAATTATTAAAGAAGAAATTGTCATAAAACAAATCAAAAACACCACCAATTCTTCAAAAAATCATATCAACTGTGTTTCTAATATTGATGATATGATATATATGTTAAATTGAAGCTTAAGGGTTCTAGTTTCTGATATGATATAAAAATCATAAGATAGGATTATTAAAATTTCTTGAAATAAATTATTACAAAAAAATGTCAAATTTATAAATTTAAAATAAAATCAAATTTTCAAAAAATCATATCAACTCTATTTTAGATAATAATGATATGATATATATGTCAAATGCAGGCTTAAACGTTCTAGATTATATTAAGATATAAAAAGCATCAGATGGTATTATTAAAATTTGATGATAAAAATTTTCAAAGAAGAAATTGTCAAATTTATAAATGAAATGCAATAAAAAATTTTCAAAAAATCATGTCAACTATGTTTCTAATATTGATGATATGATATATATGTTAAATTAGTGCTTAAAGATTCTAGTTTATGATATGATATAAAAACTATATGATTATATAAGTATAATTTCTAGAAAAAAATTATTACAGAAGAAATTGTCATATTACAAATCAAAAACACCACCAATTCTTCAAAAAATCATATCAACTGTGTTTCTAATATTGATGATATGATATATATGTTAAATTAGTGCTTAAAGATTCTAGTTTATGATATGATATAAAAACTATATGATAATATAATTATAATTTCTAGAAAAAAATTATTAAAGAAGAAATTGTCATAAAAAGATCATATCAAGTGTGTTATTAATATTCATACGTATATATAGATATACGTTTATGTTAAAATGAAGCTTTAAAACAAGTTAAAATTCTCACAGTCCTACAAAAAAGGCGTGGACATACCTGAAAGGGCACTGAAACTTGAATTACTTCCCAAAGGTTCATGTAAATCAACCTATTCAAAAAGATAACATCTGATAATTTGCACCACCGTGTGAACCACGTCTTTAAAGTTTTAAAAAATAACTCAACTGAAACATCTATGCGTTCTTGGAAATTTGAAATAGTGATACAAACTATTATGTGTTAAAAACGCCACAATGAAATAATTATTGTATTTGAATTGTATTACTTTAAGTCGCAGATTGATTTAAATTTATTTTAAACCTTAATTTTCATAGAATAATTATAACAAATACCACTTTGATTTTTAATACCAAAGCAAATATTAAAAGAATAAGTTACTTACGTTCGATCCTTAAATGCATACTAGATTCAGCATTCCTAACTTCATTTTCGAAAGCGCACGTATACGTTCCTCTATCAGACGGTAATAATTCATTAGAATTCGGTCTGGCTTTTCCAGAAAATCTCAAAATACTCTGCACACTGACGGCGTTATTGCTTGAAACGGAATGTTCCGTTTTAACTTCGTACATATTCGTATCTGCTGTTAATTCTTCGTTGTCTTTTAACCATCTTACTGTTGGTTTAGGTTTTCCTTTAGCGCTACAAGCAACAGAAAAGTTTGGATCGCCAACTCGCTTCGTTTCTAAAGGTTTTAATTTGTATTTAAAACTGGGTGGTTGATGGACTTCTAATGTAACAGAAGCAACTTCCCCGGGACCGAGTTCATTAGTAGCTTGGCAATTATAAGTGCCTTCATTAACAATGTTAGCGCTGTTTATGGAATATTTAATCCCGGTAGCTAATATACTAGATTGACCGTCGTTACCCATTTTAAACCAACGATATTGGGGTGCTGGCCAACCGGAAGGTGATGCCGTACATGTTAACGTAACGGCAGATCCTTCGTTAGCAATTGGCTTATCCGGCATTATCCTGGCTTTTCCCGGTTTGTGTCTGATCAACACTGCAATCGACGCGTTTCCAATTTTCTCTAATGGGGCTCGATTATTCGGAACACCGCTAGGTTTTAGTAAATTAACAGCACGGCAAATATAAGTTCCTGCATTTTCCGCAGACACACGATTCAATCTTAACGTATCACCATTTTGTCTAAAATCCGGTTTACTATCATGAATCCATTCGATGATGTGCGAAAAAGGATTCGCCGTTACGTTACATTTAATCGTAACCGTTTCACCTTCTTCAGCTTCTTTCGTTTTTGATTCTAAGGTAACAATAGGCGCATATAAAACGTCTAAGGTTATTTCTTTTTCGCCGACTTTCCCCAATCCGTTATCGGCACGGCACGTGTATTGTCCGGCATCTTGAATGCTGACTCGATGCAGAACATGATTTGTTGATGTGGTTATAAAACGACCGTTCCTTGCCCAATGAATGCTGGTTGCTTTCGGTTTTGCATCGACGTTACATTGAAGAGTTGCCGCTGAATCTCTTTCAATTTTCAATGGATTTTCAGGACCAACTTCCACACGTGGGAAATCTAAAAAAAGAGAAACAAAAAAATGTTATAAAAGTGTTGAAAAAATCATCAATAATATTAGTCCATAAATAGAATTTTTTTATCAAATATAGGGAACTATTAATGAGGATACCAACATGTTCGTATAAAAGCAACAAAAAATCTATGAACGCAATTTACAACTCTTTTTTGTTTGTGTTTGTTTTTACTCTATATAAATATTTGATTGTTAGCACTGGTAAATAACGCAATTGATGCACACATCGACAATAACTCATAGCAACACTCGATTTTTCTCATTTTATTTTTAACCATTTTTATTTAAAACTTTTTCGTCTATATACATATTTAAGATACTTATCTAGAGATTTTGGAATAAAATTAAATTTAAACGAATCTCAAAAGTGGCATGTAAATTATTTACGGAATGTTTCGATTCCACAAAATAGCCGCAATGGCCCCTAGAGAAGGTAAGAGACTTGGTCGTGATTTTAAATCCTTAACAATTGTTGAATTTTTAACGGACTCCTTCCGACAGCGGCCACTTTATAATCGTGCAAATTTAAACAGAACTCGCTTTTTAAATAATTTATATCACTAGGTAAACCTCAAAAAATTAACATTAGCAACTTAATTAAACAAAGTAAAGAAATAACGTTTAATAAATAATTTTATTTTAAGTTGGGATTTAACTGTNCGTTATTGCTTGAAACGGAATGTTCCGTTTTAACTTCGTACATATTCGTATCTGCTGTTAATTCTTCGTTGTCTTTTAACCATCTTACTGTTGGTTTAGGTTTTCCTTTAGCGCTACAAGCAACAGAAAAGTTTGGATCGCCAACTCGCTTCGTTTCTAAAGGTTTTAATTTGTATTTAAAACTGGGTGGTTGATGGACTTCTAATGTAACAGAAGCAACTTCCCCGGGACCGAGTTCATTAGTAGCTTGGCAATTATAAGTGCCTTCATTAACAATGTTAGCGCTGTTTATGGAATATTTAATCCCGGTAGCTAATATACTAGATTGACCGTCGTTACCCATTTTAAACCAACGATATTGGGGTGCTGGCCAACCGGAAGGTGATGCCGTACATGTTAACGTAACGGCAGATCCTTCGTTAGCAATTGGCTTATCCGGCATTATCCTGGCTTTTCCCGGTTTGTGTCTGATCAACACTGCAATCGACGCGTTTCCAATTTTCTCTAATGGGGCTCGATTATTCGGAACACCGCTAGGTTTTAGTAAATTAACAGCACGGCAAATATAAGTTCCTGCATTTTCCGCAGACACACGATTCAATCTTAACGTATCACCATTTTGTCTAAAATCCGGTTTACTATCATGAATCCATTCGATGATGTGCGGAAAAGGATTCGCCGTTACGTTACATTTAATCGTAACCGTTTCACCTTCTTCAGCTTCTTTCGTTTTTGATTCTAAGGTAACAATAGGCGCATATAAAACGTCTAAGGTTATTTCTTTTTCGCCGACTTTCCCCAATCCGTTATCGGCACGGCACGTGTATTGTCCGGCATCTTGAATGCTGACTCGATGCAGAACATGATTTGTTGATGTGGTTATAAAACGACCGTTCCTTGCCCAATGAATGCTGGTTGCTTTCGGTTTTGCATCGACGTTACATTGAAGAGTTGCCGCTGAATCTCTTTCAATTTTCAATGGATTTTCAGGACCAACTTCCACACGTGGGAAATCTAAAAAAAGAGAAACAAAAAAATGTTATAAAAGTGTTGAAAAAATCATCAATAATATTAGTCCATAAATAGAATTTTTTTATCAAATATAGGGAACTATTAATGAGGATACCAACATGTTCGTATAAAAGCAACAAAAAATCTATGAACGCAATTTACAACTCTTTTTTGTTTGTGTTTGTTTTTACTCTATATAAATATTTGATTGTTAGCACTGGTAAATAACGCAATTGATGCACACATCGACAATAACTCATAGCAACACTCGATTTTTCTCATTTTATTTTTAACCATTTTTATTTAAAACTTTTTCGTCTATATACATATTTAAGATACTTATCTAGAGATTTTGGAATAAAATTAAATTTAAACGAATCTCAAAAGTGGCATGTAAATTATTTACGGAATGTTTCGATTCCACAAAATAGCCGCAATGGCCCCTAGAGAAGGTAAGAGACTTGGTCGTGATTTTAAATCCTTAACAATTGTTGAATTTTTAACGGACTCCTTCCGACAGCGGCCACTTTATAATCGTGCAAATTTAAACAGAACTCGCTTTTTAAATAATTTATATCACTAGGTAAACCTCAAAAAATTAACATTAGCAACTTAATTAAACAAAGTAAAGAAATAACGTTTAATAAATAATTTTATTTTAAGTTGAGATTTTACTGTGCTATAATTTTTAAAATGTTTACATAAAAAATTTAAAACTTTTAAAAGCATTAGTATCGATCTCATTTATAATTTAATCCCATCCGTGTACCCTATCATTTGGGTATAAAGAGTCCCTTTTTTTATTTTAACCGTAAATTTGAATTTAAAACAATTTCCAATTATACCGTTAAAAAGAATCGGTTAAAAATTAAAACAACTACGTACATTTGTTTAAAGCAACGTTTATTATCGATTACATTGTGTTTACGAAGTTTACAGAAATGTTTATTTATTGAGACCACATCGGAAACTCTCTCACTGAAATGAGATCGCAAATGAACTCCCACATCGAAATCCTAACACATCTGGTCTCCGCATTCAGAGACGACGACGTGTTTCCGGAAGCTTGAACGTCTCTTTTGATGTTTTAACACGACGTTCTGTTTATGTTTATCCTAACCTCATTTCGACTTTAAAATTATGAATTAACTCGTAATGTATACAATTCTCAGTACGTAAATCATCTAAAAATTCGTCGATTTGTCGAATAAATAAATGGTCACGGTTGTTGTAATGGTGAGAAGTGAGAAGCAATTCGATCCCTTTCTGATTGTTTCGAAATTGCGAGGGTGGAATTCGTAAATAGGAGTTTGGTTGGAACACGTTCCATAACACGTTAGTGGAGAAAGGGGAAAATACGATACAACAAACTTTTGGGACGATGAAACGAAAACGGATCTGGGGTAACTTTGGATATAGATGGGAGGGCAAAACCGTTGGATCCGTCGCTCTCCTTTCATTTCCTATACTCCATCCAAACCTCCCCGTTTTATCGTGTTGTAGTAGCATTCGGCCAATTAACGTAATCACTGGAATTCGGGACAGATTAGGGGTGGGTGTCGGGTTCTCTCGTAATTATTTGGCAGTTTTCGTATGTGGTAAATTGTTAATTCATGCTATCATTTTCAGAGGGAATACCAATTTTAATCGTTATTAAAAGGTGATTTTCATTTTTTACAAAATCCATTGTATTAAATGAGTTTATAATCAATTCACAAGAGTAGTTGCGATCAATGCCAATGTAAGAAAAGAAAAAGAAAGCGAAGTAGAAGTGTTGTAATTGTTGGAAAGCGCACCCAACTAGCTACATTGTGCATTTGTCGATTCTACCTGAATAAAAGTCGATTCGAGAAAATTATTGTACCTTAAATCTTTTTCTTTCTTGACGTTATTTAATACTGACAGGACAATAACCATTATTGGAGTGTTCTACGTCAAAAACTGATTGAACAATCTAAATGTGGCAAAAAGGCAAAAAGATGAAAATTAAAATCAGGTCTTTAAGAAAAATCAAAGCTAGTTAAAGTTATAACTATGCCTGATTCACTATAAAAAATTCAAAAGATTTTTAACACTACATAAGCTCATTTTGTAATCCAACATTAAAAATCGACAAAAACCTTATCGTGCAGTTGCACAAGAATTTCGTAACAATGTTAAGTGCTAGTAATTTCAAACGAAAATTCCATGTGATGTTTCAGAACTACCCCAAAGCAATTAGAATCCTTATTTCTGAAAAAAAAAAGAGGCTGAGCAGAATCTGGCCGTATCGCCAACTAAATAATACCACCCAACAACTCAAGAGTGAAATACCAAAAACTAAATATATTTCTGACAGTGGCTACCTGAGTAAATTATCAAATGATAATAAAACTGACTATTCACTCTGGAGAACTATTAATTGTAAGAGACTAAGAAAACGAATCCAGCAAAATCCACCAATTAAAACGCAGACGGTACGTGGGCAAAAAGCCAATAGATAGTGATACAGATAGAGTGAAGATGTTCTTAACTGGGAGAAATTGTATTAGCGAAATTGTATTAGAGAAATTGTACCATAATGGCTATGAACAAACTTTTTGAAGGAGCGGCAATAAATCTAATATCAGTTAATAAAATTATCAATAGACCAACCAATGAGGAATCAAGCTAAATGAGGCTAAATGTGCTCATAAATAATATCCAAGTACTATATTGCCGACACAGTACAATATTTGGGTATAACACTAGAAACTACACTATGCTGGAAAGGGTATGTCAAAAAGAATATAGGGCGAAACTCCACCCTATTAACATATAAACAAAATACTTGTGTACTAAACTAAACAAATTCTCAAGCTTGTATGGATATATGGCATATAGCTGTGGTATTGTGTCAGTAGGAGCAATTTAGCAGTGATAAGGAGCATTGTGTTGTCCCTTGGCATTGTAGTAATAGTAACGCCCATAGGAAAATGGACACCATTAGTCAAACCATTAGCAAATTCACAAAGAGTCACGAACAGCAACTTCTTCATCACGTTGATGTCGAAGCCATCCAAATCCTGGACAATACGAAGCAGATCAGAAAACTCCTAAAATCCTTCGAGCTGCTGTAATTTGTGTTGGTGCAAAAGTAAAGTGCTCTTGTACATATTAATATCTCATTCTAGAAGATTGAGTCATGACTTGTCCAGAAGAGATCCAATTTATAAACTCTATAATCTTATATGAACTAAGAATTATGAGCTAGAATGAAACGTCTTGAAGAATTAGTAATCTCGATTAATACTGTAGTAGCGGTTCTACCATAACCACGAGATTTTTAAGACAACACTTTCCTGATTTATCATTTAACTCGTCAAAGTTCTGGAAATTGATTGCGGTTAATGTACAGAAAATGAAATTTGATTGACAGGTGTTGATAATCCTTCAGAATGATGAGCAGATCAAACTGCAAAGAGTGCACTAGAATAGGAGATTTTCTGTAGGTTTTTCTAATTATTATATTAGTACTATAATTTGTAGGATGTCGTTAAAACAACTCTGAAAAGCAGAAATACTAAAAAGAAAATTCTCACAACCATAACACATAAAATAAGTATTACAAACACATCATAAAATGTATTTTCGACAAAATAAAGCTAGTAACAACTCCATATGAGAATATTAGCATTTTATGACTTTAAGACATCGCGATTCAAAACTTATAATAAAGTACAACTCCAAAGTTCTGTCTCAAGTTACCAGTAGGGTCCTTTTTTCTAATGTCCGAGGTGAAAGTTTTGATGAAATGTATTAAATCTAATGCAGCTAGGTGTGAATATTACTTTTGGGTTACTCTGTAATTGTTCCATACTTGGGTGTTATTATTAATTCTTGTTTGGAACTTATTGTATTTTTATAATCGGTGTAAGATTACATCAATATCTCCTATGCCTAAATATCCAGCGTAATGGAGTTCTCAAAACAACAGAGCAAAATTAAGGTTGAGTACAAAAATTTTGCTAACAAGATGAAAAATCTAATTGAAGAGAAGATAAACTAACATGTTAAACCCAACAGATACAAGAAAGTCTCTTTATCAAATTATTCCTTAAAGAATTGATAAATGACAAGGCTGTTGATTATTTACCGGGAGAAAATTAAGGAAATGATGAAACTAATAGTGCTCATCCATTAGAAAGGAAACCAAAAACAAACTATTTTGATTGCAGAACACTTTAAAGTACAGGCAGAGATTCAATCATCCCAAAAAAATGCTTAGGTTTGACTTAATCATCACTTAATCTATTGACAAGTTCACAATTTTGTTATCACCTTGACATCAACGTGATTTGAGTAGAAACAACTTGATTATTGAAAACAAGCAAGTTTATCCAGACCATCACTTTGGTTTTTAAGAAGAAGCACCCAACCCAGCGAATACATATTTGTGACAACAATCATGATGCACAAGATGTTGATGCAGCACGGGCTTTTCAGTAGGCATGTTGGATTTTTTGCTATAATATATCAAGTCCATATATCCAGTATTCTATTAACTCTAAACGAGTTTACATATATTTGCACAACTATAAATAAAGCAGTAAACTGACGATAAGTTTCTTGGTCTCAACTTATCTAGAATGATCTCAAATGTCCGTCGAGTGTAAATATGTCTGATACAAAGTTTTTCTGAGAAAATAAATTTTAGTAATGTATATATTATAAAAATAAAAAAAAAATTTATGAAAAAAATTGTTTTATATCAAGATAACCTTTGCGTACTGTCATTATGGCGGGTCTGCCACAATAATACATATAATTAATTAAATGGTAATATTTTGTTTACACGATAGTAGGTACGTGCTTTTAATTTAATTTGCAATTAGAGTATGGTTTGATTTGTGTTTTATTTATTTAGGGTTGATACCATATTGTACTGTCAACTTAATTCAAATTAACTTATAATCAAATTAATCATATTAATTAAAATCAAATCAAATTCAATTCATTCGACCTATTTTTACAATTACATAATA